ATCATGGAATCCACAACATGTGACGTGCTACCTGCTCTTAGCCGCACTGAAGAAAGGGCATTGCTCACCTACAATGTCCTGCTCAGCACCCAACGACTTGACACCTTCACGGTGTACAATCTTCTGTACACCATCAGCCAACACATCTGGTATACATGGGACCGCTACCTTCGTCCTTCCTCAATGGGCATCCGTTGGCAAGATGAAACTGGAGATACCTTCGCCCTCCATAATGAGGACCGACTGGTTGAACTTCTTCATGAACATCGTCCTCACTGGACTGCAGGACAAGAATGCGGCTTGTTTCCTGAGATCATCCGTTATTTTACGTCTCACTATCAACCATACATCATGCGTGTAAGCTGCCATGAGGCCCTTCCCAACCGCAACATGCTGCCATAACAGGGACAAAAGTCGCTTGCTGCCTTAGGTGTCTCCTCTTTCTTTTCCTTTTCTGTTTCCTTTTCTTTCTCTTCTCTTCCCCTCTTGACTGGCTTCGTTCTTCACCTGAAATTTCCACCTCAAGCTTTGGCTCCAGCTGTATCATGACCAAACGTGATTCAGTACTCGCCGGTTTCACCTCTCCCTCATCATCAATGAGCATGCCGCGTCGTCATTCTCGTCCTCATGGATATCCTAGTAGTGCTGCTTCACCTTCGGATTCGAGCCACCATCCTCGTAGTGTCACCGAGTTCACAGAGTCCACCACCTGGCCTTCCTCTTCAGCAGCCCATTACCATGAACAGTCATCTCCCTACGGGTACTCAACTGGGGCTTTGCCAGTACCCCTTCCTACTTCGATTGATCAACAACACCCAATCCCTCCTGGGCAAGCCGAAACTTACCCACTCCAAAGGGAGATTGAACAACGACGTCGACAGCTCCATGCTCATATCTTCACTGAGGTCTGCTCCCCTCAGACTGATCCATCTCAGCCAGAGACCCGTCGCCTCATGGTGACAGAAGTGGACCGGTACGGGGTATACCGGAACCGTCAACCGGAATTCTTCTTCAATGACATCAGAAGAGACTTACGACGGGAACTGGCAGCACTACCAGCATGAGGTCGACAGTGTGAACCAAGTGGAAGAAAGCCAAGAGTCATTGCCAGGATCAGACATGGATGACACGGATTCCATCGCCGCCAATGTCGGCGTTCCTTCGACACCGACTCAGATCCACCAACTGGCCTACATTCTCTGGAACATTCTCAACAATGACAGAGAGGCCAACATGGCAATTCTCGAACTACTCGAGAACCCAGACAATGACCTTAGCAGGCACCCGGTCCAGATCTTCTCGGCAGCAGATTTGGCTCACCTTGCCAGTCATCTGGCAGAAACTACTCCCACCTTGTCACATCAAGCCCAACAAATGGAGGCGCTTTCTGACATCAGCGATTAAGCCTGGACATCAAGGCGTTCTGAGCCATTTGGATAATTAAACTGCAGATTTCTTCCCTGTATTTTGATTTTGCGTCAACCGCTACATCCTGTTTCAGGGCCCAGATAAGAGCTTCACTAACCGCTCAGCAGTTGCGAAAAAAACAGCCTCGCGGCAGCGAGGCGTGTGTGTGGACCATCTGAAAAGATGTAAAACTTCTAACTTACTTGATGATTGACTTCCATGGTTTCCTTTGTTGACTTCGTTTTTCGGTTTTCAATTGAATGTCCAACAACAGCAGGGGGCACAGGTGTGACTCTGGTTCCTGTGCCAACGAAGACGGCCAGAAGTCACAGTGATATCAAAGGGAGACGTCCCTTTGACGTAGCTGCTTCAAATTTCATTTTTCATGTCATTTTTCTGCAATGGGTCGTGGCTAACCCAAGAACCACCACGCCGTTTTCAAACAACTTGATTTCCAGGTTTCTCGTTTTGCACGGTTTTCGCAATCTGAATGAGCTGCATCAGAACCTGAATATCCTTCGAGCAAGGACGTAGAAAGATTACCTTCGCACAGTTTCTCACTTCTAATCATCAAATCGTTCCTGTCAGGTTTACTGGAGTGTTTTTGCACGTACGATGCATTCCACATCAGTAACTCGATAAGATATTTCTGAGCAAGTGTGTGTGTGTGTACCATCTGAATAGATGTAAAACTTCTATTAATTGCAGGGGGTCACCGGGGTCCCGGGGGGGTCGGTGACCAACGAAGACACCTCCCCGGGACCCGTGCAAACGTACCTGCGGGACTGTGGTGGTGCACCTGGGCGCATTTAAGTCGCAGCTGGTGGCCACCACAGTCCCATATATATATATATATATATATAGTCAGTGACGGGTAGTAAGAAGAGATTTGACTGCTTACTGCACTCGCTCGAGGGCCAAATCCGGCAAATAAGAAATGCATATATATGAGGCATCCAGAAAAGGACCCCCAGTAAGCAGAAACTCACAACTTGTTCGTTCATGGTCGATTTGAGTCTGCTTACTGCACCTGCCATTCTGATGACCGCTTCTTCCAGGCTCAAAACAAAAGAAAATCCAAAGTTTCAGCTTAAGTTATTTTTGTATATGCTTGTGTCCTTTCTGCCTGCTTTACTTGCAAGCCTGCTACTATGCCATGTGGGCCAGCAGTTCAAAATCCAGCCAGCCACATGAAAATGACCAAGCTGCAGTAAAGTTATTTTAATGTTGGATCTGGGCTAATCACCTCCCCCTCCACCACTACAGCAAACAATCATGTTAACTTCACCGGTTATGTGGTTTTTCCTCCCCTACAGAGTGTCGCCCCCCAACCAGTCTGTAGAACTTGTGGAAGATAAATATTGTTTAATTACATTTACCCTGGAAGTCAACGACCATTATTTATATAGGGGTTCTCAAACGACTATAATTATGTACGAACCACAGTTTCTGCCTACCTGCCAGGCGCCGCCAGCCTTTTGCCAGGTCCCTCAACTTGCGGTCCAGAGCCATTCAAAGGTCCAATGGGAGGCTATGGTGAATTATCTTGGATGATTAGGTTCACAACAATGATATAATTACATCGGGCCCAAACCACACAGCTGATCAAGTATATAACATCAGCATATTGGATCTATCACTTCATAACGATTTTGTATCCAGGCATGATCACACGGCCCATCCTTGGTTGAGCCATGTGCGATGGCCGGGGTTGACTTGCTATATATCTTTGCCCTGATTTGGGTATCTTGGCTTTATATCCTGTTGCACACGTTTTTTTCCCATGTCCCCCCATCTTCTCTTCAAGGGAAGTCATCGCAAGGTATGTGGCAATAGCATGAAGAAAGCCTCACGCAAGAGCCACACACTTAGTGGTGTTCACTGACTCCGGTTGTTTTGAATTTTAATGGTCCCAATAAGGATCCTTGGAAGAATTTGAAGATGAGCATGCACTTTACGGTGCCCCCCCCTTCTGCGGCACATTGCAGCTTATTACCTTTTGAATTGGAAAATCCAATCCTCCGTTGACGATTTTTTGGTTGGATCAGGATCCATCTACCAATAGAATATTTTGGGGTTGCTGATGCATGGATTTTCCAATTCATGTGACTTGATCTTTCGACTTCAGTCAGGTCATCCTGATATAATGAACTTAATCACCACTAATCACCGTATTAGTTTTAACAAATTTGGTTAACTAATATACTACTATTTCAGATGCTTCAACTCTTCCATTTCCGAAACACCGATCTGATGAGAATGACAAATCAAAATTATATTGATCTTTGACCGCTGCCATTCTTAAGTGATCGGTCTTTTGGTGGCATCAAAGCGCGATGCCGCCGCGCACAGCTGAAGAACAAATCCACCAGCTGAAGGACATGTGGTCTTGTGGATCCAAAGAACCACAATCCCGTTGACAAGCTTTGCAAGATAATTATATCATAGAACCCCTATATAAATTATAATGGTCGTTGACTTCCAGGGTATATTATAATATATATATATTTGGTGGATATTACCCATACCATGGACGTCATGGCATCCTCAAATATGCATGGGATGTATTCCTTTTTATGGTCATCGCATCGATGCGCTTTGTATGCATGCATGGCCATGGGCAGTGGTACCATCCCCAAGATAGCCTTATTTCAGGTTAGTGAATTATTATAATTTGCCCATTCTGCAGATATATATATGGTCCGTTATCCCTGGCGAACATCCCAAACATGAATCGAGATTAACTCAAGTTTTTGGGATATTCATCCACTATATAAGCTGTGAAGCAATGCCCAGATAAATTATTCATACAAGTATTAATAAGTGCACCACCAAAATGTCTTTTGGCTATTGGATGGTCCTGGATTCCGGCTTATTCCTTGCAGGATTTCTTACGTGAGTTCTGCCTAGATGATGACTACATCACCAGAAGGCGAAAGGCTCTGAAGCAAAGGATGGGCACTTCAACCAAGGACCAGAGAGTACCATGACTGGGTTTCAAGGGTTTGATTGCAGAGATCTAGGCCAACATAACGGTTTATCCGCACTGTTTTTTTAAGTTATATGAACCATCCGTGGTCGGTGATATCAACATTTAGTACTCATATTTAGGCTGAACTTGTATCATCCCCTCTATGCCGGCACAAACCAACAATCTTATCGATCGATCAATCAAGATAACCATCAATGTCTAATAATATTTAAATTTATAATAATAATTATATTATAATGTCATAAATTTATCTTGATTGATTGATCGATTTGCAATGGTTGGTATCATGACATACGATGTGACCCTATGGCGCCTTAATCCTACCACTTCAGGTGCCGCGCTTCTCCTTCATGACGCGCTTCTCCGAGACCACCAACATTAGGGAGCACGAGGTCCGCACCCGTGGAACCTATATAACTGAATTGAATTCATGAATGCATGCATGTCAGAGCACGGCATTTTCAATGGTAGAAATTATCATCGAATATATTATTATATAGTACTTAGTATGTAATCGATAATGATTATATTAAATATATTTTTATAATATCACCCGTGGTCTTCTGTATTATTTGGCCGACCTGCATTCACACGAATGATCATGGATCCGGGCCGGCAGGTGGAGGAGGAGGAGAACGCAACATTCTTGCTCCAGTTCTTCGCCAACTTCGGGGATCAGCTACCGGTTGATTCAGAACTCAAGGACCCAAGATGCACAGCCTAGATTTGATTTTCGCATCATACCAGGCCAGGACAATAATTGGTCATGCATGTTTTTTATATCACCATGGCCTGATGTATTTCGGAAGATTATAGAATTGATAATATAAGGTACGCTGAGTGATTTCTTTGATCAAACCTGAGCATGAGAAGCACACATTGCGACAATCATCATACATGCCGCCAAAACCGGACCTATTTTATGGTGATTAGATTAATTACTATTTTTGTATAAATTTATTTAGATTAGTTCCAAAAACGATTAATATCATGATATCATATATAATCATACCATTTTTTGAAAATCGAATCAAAGCAACAGAATCATATACTCTGTCCACCTGCCGGCAGGAAGCCCTTAGCTGGGCCTCAGACAAGCTGGGGCTCAATCCCCACTTGCACAGCCAGTGCTTGCATTTGGCGCCGCTCTCAGAATCAGCTTCCAACCTTGGCGTGCCAGCAGACCCGGGTTTGAGACACATGACATGTTTTTCCTCCTAGGCCTGGGGTGAAAGTGAAAGTCAACTCCAGCGTAGCTTCCTAAGCTATTGCATGGAAAGATTTCAGCGCAACAGTTCCGCTAGGTGGGGCTTCCTTTGATTGATGTCTCGAATTCATTTCATTTGATCATGCATAGGAGTGGAAGGCCCAGAATGGCTGACATCAAAGCCGTTATTCGGGCGAAACTGCAGGCCATTGGGGTCCATGCTGCATCCGTCACCCCCTTCAAAGCTCCTATATACCACATGGTTTTACATGTTGTTTCTGACATTTTGTTTCTGACATTGAAATGCATGCTGATCACTATCAACAACCAAAACCTAGTCCATATCTTACTAATCAAAATTGATCAAATCAAAAATGAAAATGTATAATAATTGTATTTCATTGAATCAAATCATCGTTAACTCGTTTCATATGACTAGCAATGAGTGATCAACTTAACTAGTATCCATCCAATCTATCGACCAGCATCGTAAGTTAAAGATGATGTATATAATATAATTATATTTATAATGAGCAATATTAACATGGGGCCCACACGCAAACACTCATAGTGCGTCCAGCTTGCCCACATTTGATGCAACTTTGGTATTAATTTATCATGGATCGACGGATCGACATGTTATTTTTTGATAAACATATTCATTATTCTGCGCGATGTCAAAGAGAGCAATTTCTGCCCAGGAAGCGGGTTTGTTAACAGTCGGTGGCAAAAAGCTGGCATCAAGAGGACGAAGTGCGTCAGCAAGGCTTTTGCACGAAGGTTCAAACAGGGGATTGGTATTGGGAGGAATCCTGTTGAATAAACCTGTTGATTAATGTTATTTTAATTATTACTATTTTAATACAAAATTTCAAAACCCATGAATTCTATGATATATCACAGTTTTGTCAGGGAAATAATTGCTTAATTACAATAAATCCACACTTCTATGGCAGGGACCAAAGAAGACCAAGAATTGACCCCAACAGAAATGGAAGAAAGTGAAGATGGAGATGAGCCAGCAGATCAAGAACAGGAGGAATCAGAAGAGGAAAAGGAAAACAATCAGGTAGCAGAAAGCCAGGATGAAAAGGAAGAGGAACACGATCTGCAGGCCCATGAACCCATGCGCATCACTCACCCGGATCAGGTGGATACCCTCCCCATGCTCGATGTGCTGGACAGTGACGGAGGCTTTTGGAAGTTGGATTCAAAAGAGGATTCCCAAGTTATCGTGTACCAACCGGGCCCAGGGATTGATCAACCCACATCGCACCATGGCGGTGAGGATGCTGTCGATTTGGTCAGTGGAGATGAAGCAGGTGAAGAGGGAAGGGGAACTTTCCAGGCCAGGTGGGTGGACATGTGGTATAACTGATATTGATCGATCAGGATCATGAATCTTCAAATTGGTTGTTAGCACATCTACCTCAATTTAAACATGTCAACTCAGATCGATTTAGATGATGTGAAAAAAGATCAGCTGATCATGTTTGCGTGAAATTTCTGTATACATTTTTTCCTTGGCCCAATTCATTTGGTCAAATTGTGTTCCCATCTGGTTGAATATATATTATAATATGTACATCTTCAACCAAGTGTACAAATTTTATCTGATAATCTGGTTGGAGCGAATCGCAAAGGTATATAACAGAAAACAATGTACAATGTCCTTTGCCTGCATGAGGAATAACTTGCATAACACATGCACATGCATCTGCGTGTGCACAGTTTAACTTTGGCATTTCATGATCATCGTCGAACGATACATCCTTTATTTAACTTTTATCACTGTTGTCAGCCCAGGACCGAAAACCTTTGATGGAACGAGAGCCCAACCATGATGAAAAGATCAAAGCAGCTGCTAAGAGTCTGATCGATGAAGAAGAGCAAGCGCATGATAAGACCAAAATCTTGGAGGTTGGGAGGTGAATCATTGATCAATTTGAAAAACAACAACATCGTGAAATAGAAGACACTGTTGTGTGGATCTTCATTAGCAACCAAAAGAAATGCGTTTTTTGGTTGGAGCCCAGCCCAAAGTTCCAGCACTGCACATGTGATCTAGAAACACACTTAATCTGCGATCATATATGTTTCTTTAAAATATCAGATCATTATGCATGAATATTATAATAATATATGCTTGGTATAGGACGGTATAGTGCGTGAAATTGCAGAACGTGGTAAATGATGTACGCATCTGCAATTAATTCCAGTTATATGGCTCCTAGCTGCGGTAGGCCCAAAAGCTTATGCGAAAGGCTGCCCGCGAAGAAGAAGAAGAAGGTGAAGACCCTGACAAATTCTACAAGGAAAATGATTCAGACGCCTCTGAATCGGGTCGTGGGCGGAAGGGCAGGGGAAGAGGAAAAGGAAAAGGAAGAGGGAGAGGAAGAGGGAAAGGAAAAGGAAAAGGTCGTAAAAAAGCTCAGTCACGGAAATCAGATGAGGATTCCGGCCAAGATAAAGGTGAAAGATCAGCTGAAGATGTGCCAAAGGAAAGCAAACGAATAAGACGCTTGAAACCTGTCAGTGGCCCCACTGGTCGGAACTTAGAGAGGTCATTTGATGCCGTTGCTGAGCCTAGTGAAAACATTCCAGAGATTGAAGAACCAAAGGAGGTGAAGGAGAAAGATGATCAGAAGAAAAGAAAGGGTCGTAAGGAAGCAGAGAAAAGCGAAAGAAATGAAGGTGAAACAAAGAGAAGGAAGGGAAGCGAAGCGTCGGAAGAATGCAAGAACAAAGAAGATAAAGCTGAAGGAAGCCGCAAAAGGAAGACAGATGGAGATGGAAAGGAAAAGGAGGTGAAAAAAGTTGGAAAGGAAAGGAAGACGAAAGCTGGAAAGGAACCGAAGACAAAAGATGGAAAGACAAAAGGTCCAAAGCAAGCGAAGGAAAGGAAAGCTGAAGGCCTCGAAGAGAAGAAGGACCAAGGAAGCGAAGCTGACAAAGACGCCTGCCAGGAAATTGATGATTCAGATGATGAGGCCTGTTCCACATCAAACAATGCGCCTGCGAATTCTCCGGCTGCAAAGAAGAAAGGACCCAAAAAACCACCAGCTTCACCAGCTACGTTGAAGAGAAAGTTGGACAAAAAGGTGGACACTTGATTGAATATCCCAAAATCAGTTAATTTAAAAAAGATGAGCATGAGTAATGAAAGATCGATCGATCATTAATTGTCATTCCTAGGAATGAGTTTTGCAAACAAAACCATCCCAAAGTGAACCCTTTCTGCGTATGGCCCCACATTAATCATCATGCATTATAGATGAACGAAGGGTGATTTGTCTTGCATGGATCATGGAATTCTCATTGTCAATGCCTCAGTTGATAATCTTAAGGCAAAGGACATCAACACCCTGTCTTTGTAACCTTTGCATGTACGATTCGATATGTAGCATGCATAGATCGCTTATATATATATTTTTTATAATTATAAATATTATATATATTGTATATCTTAATTAATATTATCATACTACCCATGGCTTTCAAAATTTTGCTTGGCTATCCCAGGACGATGCCCGAGCATTGCTGCGACGAGTCCTCAGGGCCGACCCTGAGTTCAGCACGTTGGTGGACCAGGTGGCTCCAATCGTGAAGTTCTGGCCTTGGAACTCTGGAACTCTGCAAACACATCTTATGTACTAGACTATCGAAATTATGATCTCAAAAATGATCTACATTACATGTGTATTCATTAGTTCATGAGTATTTGTTTGTACCTCGGATAATGCGCACATGCTGCAGGGGATTATTATTATATATGTTATATATATCAAATGATGCATGCATGTGTGAGTGGGACGGGGTGGTCAAGAGTGAAAAAGGCACATGAGCGTTACCCAAATTCGGTTGTTGAAGTTACCTAGATCGATTTATAAACGGATTTCAACACTATGCACATAACCAGGATCCAAGTATGCTGGTGGACTTGGGAAAACAGCTTTGCAATATCTCGCCATGATTGAGGTCCTATACCTTCAAGCCTGAAGGTCTTGACATCAAGAAGCCGTGGGTGAAACATGGAGCTATGTCTCCCATTTCCCCTGTGTCAGATCCTCAACTCCAATCAAAATGAACGTTTCAACTTGATCTCCTAAGTTGTGCAAAATGTGCGCATCAAGCCTGGTATTGAAAGATTTTGTTATTCGTTATCGATCCATATCAATATGACTATTTCGGATAAGATGATCTGAGTCAATAATTATAAGTGATGACCGGGAGCTTGTATAGTAGATATAGTTTGAACCATCATCTCGCACACGAGGCTTCGCTACCAAAGCTTCTACATTCCAGGAGTTCCGGATGCGAGGGCATCCGAAGCCAACAAAGTGTTGGAGATGGACTTCAAGGCCACTATCATATCATATATATATGATAACTTCGTTGGTTCATGTTTTGTTGAATCCAAGTATGTACTTGGTACTTTTGGTACGGTATTATGATATCAATCAAGTATTGATTTGGCATCAATTCGATCAGGTCAGATATCAATTTGGTTCCTTGCAGATCGAACTAACTTCCAGTTGATGTTGATCATGAGGGCCATGGTACAACATATATCGATATCAACAAATAATATCAAGTGAATAATATGGCCCAGGAAAGGAATATTAATATGCCCTAAAAAGCTTGGATATTAATGCTGGCAATCATAATTTACATTGCATACAAAATTATAATCTGTTAATTAAAATTATATGCATGCATACATGCCATTATTGTCTTGACCAGCCCGGAGGTCAACAAGCAACATGGAGTATCTGTGGGGTGGGCCAAGCACGGTGGAATCACTGCTGCGTCTGGGCCCCACAAGCGCTGTATGAAGGTGAAGTGATCTATCATGTGTGCATCATGCATGCATGCAATTTTAGTCTGATATGTCTGATTAAATTTCAGAAAAGTACATGATTTCGCAAGTGATTCACACTGGCATTTGCCCTTAGGTGGCAACTGGCGAAGACAATTGCGGGGTGGCAGGAACCCATAGTGGTTTCTGAGTGAAAGAAGGGTGACACTAGCCCTTATTGGTTTTGTGTCTTATGATCGATATCTTGCTGGTTCCAACGATGATTGGAAGGTATCTTCACTTGGATTGCTGGGGTCCTTAATACCTCTAAACTGATTTTATCTTCACGGGACAATATTTTTTGGATTGGGATACATGCATGCACGCTCAAACCCTCAAGCTTTACAATTACTATATATATATATATTATATATATAATTTTTGGTTACAATATATAGTGGAGGACTGCCAGCGCCAATGTGTATGTATACAGGGGTGATCTTGATCAATGGATCATCATGTATGGGGTGACAATTTCTGCCCCTGCGTGTGTACACGCAGCTAGCGCAGAGATTGGTGGACCGGCAAGC